CGTGTGGGAGTTTGGTGGTTTCTAAACTTATGTCCTGAGATGTGAACTTGAATTAGTCTGAGTTGGCCTAGTCTGATTTAGCTCAAGTTAGTCCAGTTTAAACGTCTTGCAAAACTGACTCTTGTGAGCTTTAAAGTTGCTTTGTATAACTTTTTTGGTTCAAGGTTCGTCAAATACTTTTCTCCATAGAGATGTTACTGTTTTGTTTGGAGTGTTTCACAGTATGACATTAAACTTTTCTATCTCCATGGGTAGGGCTGAACAATTTTAAGAAAAAAAAGATACTGCGATTTTGATTTCATCCACAATTTTTTTCAAATCAAGTTAAGTGCACATGAACATTTGCAAACATCACAGAAACTTCACCAGAATCCTGCAATGATGGGCCCTAACTATGTGTCAAAACGATACGGGCTGTGATGGGTCCTCTCTACTAGTCTGATTCATCAGCTGGTTTCACTTCGTAGAAACTGTCTGACCTCACAGCGTTAGGATTCATTCGCTCAGCGGTAGGCGGGTACTTTTTTTATTTAACCAATGTATATAATGCACCACAAATGGGGCTGACTGGTATATTAAGCTTTTCCCAAATCCCGTAGGAAGAAGGACAATAACGTCTTTCCCCTTGATAAAATTCACCAAACATTCTCTTAGTTCCAGCTTTAAATCCTCGATCTCGGGAGTCGTTGACAACACAAAATGTCTGACTCTTCGCTGATTGACTGGTGCCTGAACTCACACTTCTGAGGTTCTTGCAAATCGTCGAGTGTATTCCAATTCCTAATCTAGTCACAGAGAGAAATTAGTTTGAGTGAGCTCTACACACATTTCCTGTACTCAGTTTTCTTTTCTTTCAGTATGCATTGAGTAATAATGTGTTTAATGCAGCTTTGAGCACATTTGTTTATGTTTTACAGAAACAAAACTTAAAACCACATGGCTCATTTGCATAAACTATAAGCTCTCAAAAAAACAGCTGGCTCCTTATGCATTGATGTGGTTCAGTTTCTGTCGGACTAAAGAACACGACTCAGTGGAATATGAGTGTTCTTTCTGTGACAGAGGGGTGTTCTGCTGATGGTGAGTCTGTTCTGAGCTTCTATCGCGTTAGACATGGTTCATGTTAAACTTTACACAAATGCTGGGTTTAAATTCTACCCTCCGAGCATTCTGGCGGTGAATTACTTCGCGGCACATAGACCTAAACACAGATGCAAAAATCTAAATCGACAGCGACAAGGTGACGGCGGCAGTGTGTGTTGAATCGACGCAGAACTAAATTTCATTTAAATTGCGCTTTAGGAGCACTGCAAAAACAACACGGCTTTGACGCTCAAAAAATCGTGTCATCTGAGATTGCAATTTTTGGTTCAAAACAATAGATCGTTCAGTCCTACTCCATGGAGACCAAATCAGACCAAGTTACAGGTCAGGTCTGTGGAGAGGCGACCCCGCTCACAGTCAGAATGTCTGTTTCTCTGGGTATTTTTGAGCTATGAAACCACCTGTAATTGAATAAATGTAAAGTAGAGCTGTTTAATGTCACACTGTGGAACATTCAGGCAGAGCAATGACATCTCTATAGAAAAAAAAATAAAAGTTACACAGTGCACCTTTCAGCCATGTTATAATGTTATAATGTTTGTTTCAGTTTGTTTTTTTCACATGTTTGAGTAACTTTAACTTTTTTTTTACTAGTTTGTCTACATCTCCAAAGCTCCAAATGCTTGTGATGTCATGAAGTGGTAGTTTTCAAGTTAACAGCTAATTTTAACTGTTAGTTCTGTATAGATTTTCAATTCCAGGGCTGAAATTATCCAAATGATTCTAATGAAGGTGTGTGGAATTTAAAAACACAGTGGAGCAGGATTACAATTAGATATGTTCCTAAATCGTTCGGTTATATTTTAGAAAAAGTCTTTTCCAGTGACTGCACCCAAACACCAGCTGTCCACACACACACAAACACACACAAACACACACAAACACACACTGCTCATTCACAAACGACTAAACTCTCGGAGCAGAGGAGAGAGTGGAAAGTCAAACATGAGCTCGTGTGTTCCTTTTGTCGAAGCTTACATGAAACTCAGGCCTCGAAAACTACTCAAATATTCAGCAAACAATTCAAAGTTTAAATTTTAAATTTGAGTCAAGACAAAGAAGAGCTGAACCCGCTTGAAACTGGAAAATATTCAAGAGAGAATGTCCAAACCTCAGTGTGTGTTTTAGTAGCAATGGCAAAGAGATGCAGGCTGTGATAAACCAGGACTAAACTAGGACTAAACAAGGACTAAACCAGGGCTAAACCAGGACTAAACCAGGACTAAGACAGGACTAAATCAGGGCTAAACCAGGGCTAAGATAGAGAAAACCAAGAATAAAAAAGGACTAAATAAAGGACTACACCAGGATTAAGACAGGAACAAAACAGGATAAAACCAGGACTAAGACAGGACTGAGACAGGACTTAACCAGGACTAAAACAGGACAAACACAGGACTAACACAGGACGAAGACAGAACTAAGACAGGACTAAACAGGACTAAAACAGGGCTAAGACAGGACTAAAATAGGATTAACCAGGACTAAGACAGGACTAAACCAGACCTAAACCAGGACTAAACCAGACTAAACCTGGACTAACCAGGACTAAACCAGGACAAACACAGGACTAACACAGGACTAAGACAGGACTAAATCAAGACTAAACCATGCCTAAGACAGGGATAAACCAGGACTAAACCAGGACTAAACCAAGACTAAACCAGGATTAAACCAGGTCTAAACCAGGACTAAACCAGGACTAAACCAGGATTAAGATGGGAACAAAACAGGACAAAACCTGGACTAAAGCAGGACTAAACCAGGATCTAAACGAGGATTTAAACCAGGACTATAAACATATGTGCTGTAAGTGAAAGGGATCAATTTCACTGGATAATCTGATCAAGGGTTTCCGCTTCCTGTTTATAGGCACCATATTGAGGACTTTTGGCCCCGACACAGGATATTAAGTGGATAATAAGTACTGGATTTAACAACTTCTGGAGTTAAAAACAATGCCTCCTCATAACAAGCATGTGATGTGAGGAACAGACTTGATACTCAAAACCGATTCTGATTCTTTGGGCTGGTCTAAAAACAACAGGAGGAACTCTGCCATTGCGTGAACCCAGAATGTACCACCATCACCACGGCAACCAAGCAAAAACACTAAGACTAATAATAGATGTTATAGTTTCTCTTTTAAATTTAGAATGAATCACAAACACAACAATCCACAGCAAACAAAACACGGACAACTTTTAACATTTCAGCAACACAACATTTCTCAAAGACATACAACTCTTACTTAACAATTTTCCCAACATTTCAGAAGCGATTGTAAATTTTCCAACTGGCAAAATGAAAGAATGTCTGATATTGGGGCTGCACACTCAGAACAGTGTTAATAATGCAACACTGGCAGAAGCAATGACTCATATCACAGATTCAAATGTGTAACACCAGGTTTTAAATGGAAATGCGACTATAGACAGATTCTATTTATTATTGTTGTCAAACCCGCAATTTTATTTTTAAAGCCACAGTATGTAACTTTGTAGTCCAAAAAATAGACAAGAATAAAGATATAAAACCATGCATCCTTAATAACCTCGTTTACATGATGGGTTTTAATTCCAGATTAATTGTTCTGAATTAAAATATCATCCTTGGAGTTTACATGGAAATAATAATCCCAAATTGAGGTTTACATGGGAAACTCCTTAAATCATCTTTATTTAATTCTGTTCAACGTCTGGGGGTGGGGAAGGTTCTGGTTGGACAGGGACACGAACATATTTATGTCGAACAGAAGAAAACGCACTTTGTCGTTACACCACGGACACAAGCACAATCCAAACTTTTCCGGCAGTCAACCGATGATAATTGCGCAGCTTTATGCTTCATGCTCTCAGCTGAGGAGAATGGAAGAGTGTGAGGCTGCTCTACCTCAGCCCACTCCCACATCCCGCTCACAAATCGCAAAAAAGCAGTGGATGAAAGTCTGAAGCCAGCTGGAGCCGGATCATCCGGATTGTGTCAGAAGGGCGACACAACGAACATGTGCTGAACAACCACAATTATTTTTAAGAAGAATAAACGTGAAACATGATCCAGGAAGAAATTAATTTGACTTTAAAATCGGAATAAACCTCCCACTTACTTCAGAATTAAGTTTAATTCTGAATAATCATTTTCATTAGGAAATAAGTGTTTACATGCTCTTTTTAAGGCAAAATAAATTTTTATTGAGAATTAAATTTTTTTTTTTTTAAATTAAAGCTCTCATGTAAACGTGTGACATGTGAGGCTTGCATCTCCATAAACCTGACTCTTATTTAGCCTAGAGGAAAAGCTGCTTGTTTCCATGGAAATGTTCCTCTGGCTGTTTTCTTACACAGTAGAACATATGCAGACATACGTCACTGTCAAAGCCTGAGCTCGTCTGATCTCAGAAGCTGAGCAGGGCTGGACCTGGGCAGGACTTGGATGGCCACTGGCAAAAACGATTGTTGTGTCCTTAGGCAAGACACATCATACATGCCTAGAATAAATGTGGTGTGTGACTACTGGGGCGACAGAACAGACTGGCAGCCTCACTTCTGTCAGTCTGTCCCAGGGCAACTGTGGCTACAATAGTCTCTCACCACAACTGAGTATGGATTAATTAACAGTCTCAACAGTATTTATTAATTAACTGATCTATCTCCATGGAGAACGTTCTGAGGGTGTGGTTTCTGTTTTCATGGAATCAAGCAGGTGACATTACACCTTCAGAAAGTTACATACTGTAGCTTTAAATGAGTGTAAATTAAAGCATGCACATTTTAGACATAATATAATGTCAACAAGTGTACTGGGACATTCCAAGTTCATAATAGTACAGTAGAGGAGAGGAGAGCTCAGTCTGGTGTTTCCCATAAGGTGCGGTGCTCGTGGAAAGTGGGCGTTACCTTTCAGATTCTTGGGGTTGTTTTGCTTGGTCCGCGGCATCTTTCTGCCCCTCTGATTCACAGGTGCATCATGGGAAAGTTACAGGAAGGGCTTCGCGTCAAGTTTAGTCCTGGACTCGAGTCAGGAAACATCTGCAACAGGGAAAACCAGTGAGCAATACCGGGAATCTAACCCACAACCTCCAGGATCAGGAGGAGAAAGAATCAGCACTCTGCCACAGGAACACACACACAATTCTGTTATTTAAAAGGGCCAAGATTACACAATTTTCTGATCTGTGTTAAAATGTCCACTTTCAAACAGAAAACACTCTGATCCACTTTGTGATGTCATTTGGTAATACAGGAAGTGCTCCACTGTGTTTTTAAACTCAATACACCTTCATTAGAACCATTTGGATAATTTCAACTCCAGAAATTGCCAATATCAATTAGGGCTGGGTATCATTTAGAAGTTGCCGATACAATAAATACCTCGATGCACAGGCCACGATACGATACATATGTTGATACAGTGCACTTTAGATTCGATACGATATATTTCAAAGCGATTTGATACGGTTCAATAAAAAATAAAGTCTAAATCATGTCTGTGGTAATAAAGTCTTTATTAAACCACTTCTTGTGCAAAGTTAATAAGGCAATGTTCAGACTGCAGCCTGAAGTGACCCAAATCCTATTTTTTGGCCCCAAAGTGACCTGTATCTGATCTTTTAATGTCAGTCTGAACCACACAGATCTGATTTTTTCAAATGTGACCCAGGACACTTGGAATATGTGCTCCTGAAACCGATACATATCTGATCTTTTGACATGCGACTTCAGTGTGAACGGTCAGGTCACATTCATCCACCTACACGTCATCAACAAGCGACAAACGTACACAAATGTTCTTCTCGTCATATGAAAATTGTTAATGAACTCTGTGTCACTAAAGCGAAGCACATCACCACTCACCACTCTTGGCTACGTCTCCACATCCACACATTCCTTTCACCGGACAAAACACCACGGCCAAAAACCTCGTCCTTCTCGTTCTCAATCTCCTCCTTAAAACAAGTTGTTCATGTTCTGGCTCCGGTACGAGAGGAACTTTAAAATCTCCAGGTGCTCAATGCTGCGTCCATGTTTGGACAACTTCTGTAAACACAGAGACGCTCGCTGCGGTTGTCGTCATCGTGTCTCCAGTGTCACATGTGGGACACTTTTGGGCCGTTTAATGTTCACACTGGAGTCACATACAAGTCGCATTTACTGTATTTTCCGGGCTATTAGTCGCGCTCTTAACCCTCCAACCGCATCAAAAAACGACTGCGCGCCCCACAATCCAGAGCACCCTATACACGAATCCACGACTTCAGTAAACTACAAAGCCGCACCACCCGCAGAACACACAAACACACATGGAGCAGACAGCGACCGCACAGCGAAACACACCCACAGACACACTCATCACTCCACGCCGACGAGGAACGGAACGAAGGAACGGTCCCAGACAGCACCCTCCCTACACGCCACGACTGAACAAAGTCCAGAGTCACCATGAACGCGCCAAACAAAGTCCCACTGACCCATCCAACTGTTGTGTTTCCTTTAAAGTCCGGTGCGGTTTATTTGCGAAAAAAAGTTAGAAAAAAGACCATATAATGACAGTGCGCCTTATAATCCAGAGCACCTAATAGCCCGGGGAAATATGGTAATTGGAAATGTGAACATCCTCGCAAAAACATCGGATTTCACAAAAAAAAAATCCAAATCTGCAAGTCTGAATGCAGCCTATGAAACATTTTCACCCATTTTACTATTTACAAAAAAGTGAAAATGTCAAATGTTGCATAAAAGAGTTTCCTTGGACTAAACATACAACAAAACTGTAGCACTTAACAAAATCATTTAGTGAAATATACCAAAAAAACAAATACTCTTGGTGATATATCGATACAGCAGCACGCGATATCGATAATGTATCATCACATTAAACAATACGATATAGCGATACTTCGGTATTTTTGCACAATCTTGACTGAAGTAAAGGTAAAAAGGAGCTGCTTCGTGACATCACAAGGTGGGACAGAACATTTTGAGCTTTGGAGATGAAAACAAACTAATAATGCAGAGTTACTCAAACATGAAATGAAACCAAACACAACTCGAGGTATTTTTTTGAGGAGGAAACAACGTTCTAACACGTCTTAAAGAGTCAGACTTGTGTAATATCCAGGAGCTTTGATACGGCCGTTCATCTGACTCTAGAAAAATGCAATTGCTTGATTTCGATTTCGTTTAAATGTAAAGGAAACGTGTCCAGACAGACGAGCGTGTATACCTCCTGACTCACACTGAAACCTCGCAGCTGTTCTCGACACTGCTGTGGCAGAGTGGTATCCTGTCTCCTCCTCTCAGTGGGGAGGTTGTGGGTTAGACTTCTGAGTGTGCATGTTCCCTCTGTGTCCCTGTGTCCGAGCGGTCGCCGTTTAAGCGCAGACTCTCAATGCTCCGTAGTGAATGAATGATAGAGAGTCCATTGTCCAGACTGTATCCAACCGCACCGCAGGCATAGAGTTACTATAGAAACTTACAATGCATTAGAATGTGACTCTTACACAACAGAGGTGTGGATAAAGCTGTTAGAACAATGACAGAAGATTTTTTGGAATTAAAGAATCCTGAAATTTGAATTCTGCAAACAAAATCATTGAGAAAAACTGGTCAAATCTAAAAAACGCTGTTGCCTTTTGAGCAGTATTACAGCTGGTGCATGTGTGACTGCTGCAGAAGCCGTGACCCTGTCCTGAATGCTGATTTTTATCTCTCCTTCCCCGACAATAAGCGCAATGTTACCGGTTTAACGCCGCTCTGCCCCCTCTTCTCACAACCACAACTGGCCCTTTTACGCCCAAGTCACAAGCACATCAGATACTACATGCTAATAACCAAGACCACACAACTTCTCTAGGGGTTTCTGATCGTCTTCTTCTAAACATTTACGAGCCAAAACATGCAAATGATCGCATGGGAAACGCTACAACAGAGAGATAAAAACGCTGTTCCAGTTTGCGTGAAAACGACAGCAGCAATTTACGCATGCACCACGGCTGTTCATTGATAAAAATCCTTTCTTTCTTACCGTTGCATCATAAAATCGTAGCCATCAGACCCACGCAGAATAACGCATCACCTGTCCTGGACATATTAACGTAGTGGGAATGTCTCAATAGCCAATCATTGTTCGCTCGCTTTTCCAATATTACATAACTCTTACTACAACTGGCTGCTCGTGGATGCTCTCCCGTGGCGCTACAGCAATGACATCATCCCCACGGGTCGTATTTTCCACAAAAACAAAATTAGGGATGCGAAATCTGGCGGCGTGCACCGAGACGTACGCGTAAAGACGGTATCACCAGCCTGGTGTTGGTGATTTTTTATTTTTTTTTCTTTGGTTGTGTTTTGGCGCAGAGGCGAAAGGGAAATAAAAGAATTGGCTACGTACAGGTCGTCTGTCAAGATGCCAAGCGCTTTTTGAGGGAACACCCTGCCTTAAACGGCGTGCCAATGGAGTGAGAGCGCATCCAAACGTGGACACATGCCAAATAGTTGTAGGAGATGTCGCTGAAACTGGACTGTTATGTAAAAGTGCAGGGCGTTGGGTGTTTACGCGTGAAAATAATGGTGTGCAAACGTGTTAAAATTGTGCTCATGATGTATTAAGTGTAATAAATTGGCGTGCGTAATTTGGATGAAGAAAAACGAGGTGAATAGAGCAAAAACAATACATGGGAATAGCGTATTTTTGAGCCTGTTGCTACACGTGAACGCCCTGCGAAGCACCGAGGGAGGAGCCAGGGAAAACCCCTCAGTCGCTGCAATAGCTGTGGCCTGACTCAAGTCTATTCTGAACGTACAGCGCCGCGCTCCGTGTGTGCTCCTACGGTCCGCTGTTTATTTACCACACTGTTAGCAATGTCAGCACGCACTAAACACGCCAGGCTCACGCACAGTCACCCTTTAGCCCCTCTGTGTCCGCGAGAGGCGAGCACAGAGAGGCAGGCGGACCCGAGCGAGCCGAGCCGTGCGTTTGGGTGAAAATAGCTCTCAGCAACACAGCCGAAAGGGAAGTTTAGAGCGAGCTAAAAGTGCAGAGCGAGCACACGAAGGCACACGCACGTCCGCTGCAGCCACAATGACGCAAAGTGACGGAAACAGACGAAGCAAACCCATGCGTGAAGACGCAAATGCGTGTTTCTGGTACTCACGGATGCACTTTGATCCGCTGTCAGGGGTTTAAAGGCCGTATTTGTGCCCAGGACGCGCGCGGAGCTCTGGGTTTTCTCTCGTTGCTTTGCGCTGCCTCACTTTCTATTGCAGGAAACAGCCACTGACGTCAGCGGGGGTCCCGTCTCCGCCTCCAGCGACAGCGGCCTCCGCGTGGAGAGGGGGGAGCGCGACAGACGAGCACAGAGGCACAATGACATCGACAACTGTACACTGTGCATAATAAACAGACTGTAAACCAAACAGTGGACCTGCACATGTGACCAGATCCACACAGGAAACAAACAAACCTGTGCGTAATGGCCAAGACCGATGCCAAACACATTTTAGAAACATAAAAAAACGTTAAAACCATTCTCCACGGACACAGATATGCCGTACTGAGGAAGACCAAAGGAACAACATTACCATGGAGACAAAGAAGCAAAGTTAGAGCTGTGGAGATGCGAGCCCGCTCATAATAAAGACGCATGTTTTTCTGTGTTTCAGGGCAATAAACGCAACCAAAAAGAAAAACAAGACAGACATATTATCAGTGAGACGTTTATTACAACCAATACTAGTCAGTACATGTTCTGGTATCTGTATTAAAGGCGCACTGATGAAAAAAAAAACCCGATTAATTCACACATTTATATCCAAAGCAGATCGTTCAAATCCTCGTGTCTTGTGTACGTCTCTCCTCGTCGCTGCTCTGGTCCCTGCGCGTCGCCCGTCGCTCTCCCCCTCTCCCGCCTCTCCTCTCGGCTTTGCGCTGACGGTTTTCCCGGAGGTTCCTGGTTCAGGTCACGTTGTGGCCCTGAGCTGAGAGGCCGGGCTTCCCCGCGCTCACAGCCGCAGCAGGAGCGCCTTCCCCGGGCACACACACGGGCCAAACTCCGCGGGACGACATCAAATCGTCTCTGATTTCAGTTTCACAAAATAGATCGTGTTTCAAAGCCCCGTCTGTTCTGTTTTGTTTTTGTATGCGCGCTCTGTGGCTGAATGTAGGCGAGAGGTCAAAAATGTTCCACAGCAGTGAGACTAAAACTGTTCTGTCATTCATCACCGGGACAAGGCAGTGACAGCGCTAAGCCCAGTCAGATCTGTGCAGAGGAGACACACTCACAATAACAATATAACAATACATATTTTCAAAGTGATTTTAAAGAAATAAAAAATTCTAAATGGAAAAATGCTAGATAGACCAGTTTAATGCCACACTGTGGAATAATCAAAGCAATGTCATCTCCATGGAGACAAGCAGTGAAAACTCCACCATAAATGACCAGAGTGACCTGTAATCAGTGTTGGGGAGTAACAGATTACATGTACCGGAGTTACGTAATCAGAGTACAAATAATGAGTAACTGTATTCAGTTACAGTTACTGTTTAAGTGAGTGGTAATTGGATTACAGTTACTTTGTTGAAATAAATGGATTACACGGCGGTATTTTCTTGTTTTCACATTTTGGGCTAAACCAGGACTAAAACCAAGACTAAAGCAGGTCTAAAACAGGATTTAACAGGACTAAATCCTGCTGTGTGGACCATGTCTCTTCGTCTTGTATCATTAATATTTTTAATGTGGTTGAGTAAAGTCTGGGCTTTTTATTTTCTTTTAGCAGACAAAACATCTTAGGTTATGATTTCCTCGTCTTTGCTTCTCTACAGCAAATCAAGTAATCCAAAATATTCAGATTACGTTACTCACTTTAAGTAATTTAATGGATTCTGTTACAAACTACATTTTGGGGTGGGTAATCTGTAATCTGTAGGGGATTACATTTTTAAAATAACCTTCCCAACACTGCCTGTAATCATTTATAATGTGTCATAAATTTTCATTTCCCATAATGAATCTAAACCATAACCTTTGTGTGAGTAAACACGTGGGTTTATTCACACTCACATTTACAGCACTGCAGACGCTCTGCACATACACCAGATTAACCTTAAAATCATCCGAAAATATTATGTTTTGCAGAGCTGAGCAAACAGATTACAGCGATTAACCAAATTTTAAATTCAGATCAGTTTTTTGGAAGAAAACTTGAGTTTTATTTCCCACACTTCCCTGCAGTGGAAGCTGTAGATAGAGACAGTGTGCTGTGTGCAGTCACATGAGCAGAGAGGAGAGATGTGCACCTGCTTCATGAGCCTCTGAGAAAAGGGTTAGCACAGGACACAGCTGATCTGAAATCAGTGAGTTTAGCACAGGACACAGCTGATCTGAAATCAGTGAGTTTGGCACAGGACAGAGCTGATCTGAAATCAGTGAGTTTAGCACAGGACACAGCTGATCTGAAATCAGTGAGTTTAGGGTTAGTTTTTTGTTTGTTTCAACTCATTCGTAAAATGGAGACAGATTCCCCAACTGCTTTTCACTTTTATACTTTATGCTGTGTTTAGGCCTTTTCTTTTTACAGTGCACAACAAAAATAAACATTTAGACCAAAGGAGCGCACTATTTACTGCACGACAACTTTACTTCAAACTTTTTTTGTTCTGTAGTTTGCAGAACATTTTGTAGACAGGAAGATGAAAATTGAAAATCAAATATTTACCTAAAAACGGGTAGTTGGGTTGTTGGTGTGTTTTCTTTGGAGTTTACTTTTGTAAAAGAGGAACCTGAGACAATGTGGCCGCAGCATGTGAAACTATACAATAAACTCCAGTGAGATTATACATATTAGTTATTACAGTGATACTCAGGGTTTTTTTGGAGTTATACATTGTACATGAGCAACTAGAAAAATGATGACTTTTTTATTTTTTGGTCTGAAGTCCCCTCTCACCTCCTCGGGCTAATTTTACCTCGTGTGCAGTGACCTCCTCCTCCTCCTCCTGGGCCTGACCCTGTGTGTGGTCACTCCTCTGGGTCGGATCAGTGGAACGCTCCTGCCAAAGGTCCACGGCTATTTATGGAGCCGCAGACTGAAATAGCCTCCAGTTAAATGTCTGTAAACATCTATAGAATCACCAAGCAACAGCCGCAGACAGAGTGGGGAAAGGGATCACCACGGCAACACCAGGAGGCGGAGGGAGAGAGGGAGGGAGAGGGGGAACACGAAGGGAGGAGAGATGGAGGGTAATTAGTGAAATACTCAGGCAATGTGATGTAGCTACTGCACTGAAATAAAGGTCGCTGGATTTGCATAAAAAAGTTCTGGAAAGTGGCTGCATGCAATAAAATAATGTTTAGGCTTTGAAACTTATTTTGATCTTGTCTACACATATTTTTCTCCGAACATGAACGTCACTTTTTCATGTTGATGAAATTTGATCAAATCATGCTGAATAAGCATATTTATCTTATGTTACCTTATCGTGAAATGTATAAGTATGTATAATTTCATTTAATTGATCTAATTCTGTAAAAGAATACAAAAACAGTCTTTAGTTTTCCACAGTTCTGTTTTGTCTTAAACAGAATCAAACACACAGAGACACACAAGTACAGAGACACACAGTTTGGAGCTGGACAATGTGAAGATTTATTCCAGTGAAGCTCTGGTCTCTGTGGACACAGAATAACACATGATGATCACATTCTGATGATCTACTCTGTTGTACATGTTTAAATACATTTAAAGCACTTATTACTACAATAATGGACCAGAACAGAAGAACAAGAACATTAGAAGTGTATCTGCAGAAACAAAACTCACCATGTGCTGCTTTTCTTCCTCTAAACACAGTAACAGGGAGGGCATCTGGTATAAAGTCTCCTAGTGCCACATCACCTTGTAGAAACACAATAACTGTTTCAATAGGAAGTTCATTTTGAAAAATTATTTTAAAATAATTTTAGTTGGTTTACTTACTTTGTTCATCTGTGCTCTGTGTTTTGTTGGTTATTAAACATCTTCCTTTTTCCTGAAACATCAGCTGTAACATTCATGAACTTCCCCACAGCTCCAGCAGAACCTGGACGTCACTGTTTGTTTGTAGACGACTCTGGAACAAACACATTCAAATCTTATACAACTGTCCCACTCTTGTAGATGGACAGTCAAAGACAATTTGTTTCATGGAAACAGTTCTTACATTAACTCTAATTTCAAATAAAACACCACAAACATGTTTTAACAATGACGACATTCTAGTCCAGAGAAACATATAACATCTTTGAAAAGTCTCACCTCCAGATCAGCTCTGATAATCCTCCTGCTCCACACTGTGTGTCTCTGCTCCTGGAACTGTCCTGTGTCCTGTTACATTTGAATTTTCCCTCCAAAAGTTTTGGGGAGGAGAATTCCAGAGGGAGGAGCCTCACCACAGATTAGAATAAAGTCATGTTTCCTCAACCTGATTAAAACCTGCAGGTCTCACATCGACCACAATCAAGTGACCTTTGTAAGATTTAAACATGCTGGACAGAGAAATGTAAAAAAGTCAATGGAATGGAAAAAAAAAAAGTCCTTACATTTTAAATTCTCACTGTTGTTTATTTTGTACGATTATAAATGATAAACTTGTGTGCGTTCTTTATCATTATTACTAGACGCACGCTGATGGTGTTGCGATAGGGGAGTGACTTAGCACGGAGAGCAAAGGGAGGGGAGATACTGAGTATTAAAAATAAAACTGAAACTTCTTAAACATACATTGGTTTTGGTAAACAGAGTAAACAGTAACATGGCTCTGTTCAGTCTGCTGTGAAATCGGGGTTGGACATGATACGTTTATTTAAATTTCACCCTCCTCTTTTTGAGCGCCAGAAATGCTCCCAAATGTTTGTCATGTACCTACTTAAAGAAATGTATTTTATTTATTTATAAGGGAAGCCCCTTGAGATGTAGTTTCTCGTTTGCGAAGGGGTCCTAATTACGGAAGCCGAGAAAGGTCACAACAAACGCAAACGCAGCAACAAATACAAATGTGACAACACAACAAAAAGCCACGACAAACCAAAA